GTAGTCTCCAGTCAACATGGAACTATGAATGTAGAATCTAATATTGTCTCATAGTGGGAGTTTTAAGGTGCCCATTGTTTCCATTATATTGCATTTTTTTTTTTTGTCCTTCATGTTCCAGCAACCAGTGAAGTTCATACAAACATTAATAAAGCTATCAATTTCAGTACTCATCCTTGTTTATTATGTTCCTTTATTGCTACCAACCCTTGTAGACTCTCTGGTCCACATCACCTTTTTGTTCTTCCTCTCTTCTCTCTCCCACCCTGATGTGTCTAATTCAAGTCTGCCTTTCCTGTGTGTCATTCCTGAAGTCTTTCCTATTTGAAAAATCTCAGCAAGCTGACATATTTCATTACCTCGGGTGGAAACTCATAATGTGTAATGGAGGAGCAGGTTTTTTTTTTTTTCAGCATCATGATTTGATACTTTGTATTACCTGGAGTTTACCTGAAGAGAGTTCCGGGGGTCAACGCCCCCGCGGCCCGGTCTGTGACCAGGCCTCCTGGTGGATCAGAGCCTGATCAACCAGGCTGTTGCTGCTGGTTGCACGCAAACCAACGTACGAGCCACAGCCCGGCTGATCAGGAACTGACTTTAGGTGCTTGTCCAGTGTCAGCTTGAAGACTGCCAGGGGTCTGTTGGTAATCCCCCTTATGTGTGCTGGGAGGCAGTTGAACAGTCTCGGGCCCCTGACACTTATTGTATGGTCTCTTAACGTGCTAGTGACACCCCTGCTTTTCATTGGGGGGATGGTGTGCATCGTCTGCCAAGTCTTTTGCTTTCGTAGTGAGTTATTTTCGTGTGCAAGTTCGGTACTAGTCCCTCTAGGATTTTCCAGGTGTATATAATCATGTATCTCTCCCTCCTGCATTCCAGGGAATACAGGTTTAGGAACCTCAAGCGCTCCCAATAATTGAGGTGTTTTATCTCCATTATGCGCGCCGTGAAAGTTCTCTGTACATTTTCTAGGTCGGCAATTTCACCTGCCTTGAAAGGTGCTGTTAGTGTGCAGCAATATTCCAGCCTAGATAGAACAAGTGACCTGAAGAGTGTCATCATGGGCTTGGCCTCCCTAGTTTTGAAGGTTCTCATTATCCATCCTGTCATTTTTCTAGCAGATGCGATTGATACAATGTTATGGTCCTTGAAGGTGAGATCCTCCGACATGATCACTCCCAGGTCTTTGACGTTGGTGTTTCGCTCTATTATGTGGTTAATTGTTGCGTATGTAATGGGATCATATTGTTTCAGTAAATATTAGTCAAGAAATTGCATTTTTTTGGGGGTAGTGAAAAGGATTGGTAATAAAGGAGCCTGATGTTTTGCTAAGTGATAGGTAGGTTAAGTTAAATAAAACCATGTCAAATGTGACAATAATAACTCACTTTGCACTATTGCAAAGCGAGTTATTACTGTCACATTTGACATGGTTTTATTTAGGCAAAATGTGTAAGAATAAATGTTCACTATTCTGTACTATAATGTGCATTAGTTAACAGCAGATAAAGTATACATATACATAGATGCCTTCTAAATCACCACTGCCTCTCTTCTTTTTGGCCAGATGTGCCCAGTACAGTAATACTTTACTGTATTGTATAACACTTAGTGTACAAGATGATGTCTTGTTAGATGGACTACACTGTTGTTAGATAAGTGAGCTTGTTAGAAAACATACATGTACAGATATGTATAAAATTTGATAATATAAAAAAGTCATGGTGATGAAGTTGTCCAAAGATCATTATTCATTGTATCTTAGTTTGGACATTAGTGTACACATACGATTACGTATATATTTTGTTGTACAGCATTACTATTCTGAATAAATTCCAGAGAAATTTGAAATAATGTTTATTAAACAGCCTATTTGAAATTACAAAACATCAGCCTGTGCAACTTGTGCTACATTGTAAATATGTACAGTGGACCCCCGCTTAACGATCACCTCCCAATGCGACCAATTATGTAAGTGTATTTATGTAAGTGCGTTTGTACGTGTATGTTTGGGGGTCTGAAATAGACTAATCTACTTCACAATATTCCTTATGGGAACAAATTCGGTCAGTACTGGCACCTGAACATACTTCTGGAATGAAAAATATCGTTAACCGGGGGTCCACTGTATATATATAATCTACATTGGAGCATTGCTGTTGAAATAACCTGAGTTTTGTTATTGTACTCAAATGATCATTGTATTTTGTCATATTTTCAAGCATTTTTATTATTTTACATTATGCACTATTTATGTAATACAGTGGACCCCCACATAACGATATTAATCCGTTCCTGAGAGCTCATTGTTATGCGAAATTATCGTTATGCGAATGAATTTTCCCCATAAGAAAAATGGAAATCAAATTAATCCGTGCAAGACACCCAAAAATATGAAAAAAAAATTTTTACCACATGAAATATACATTTCCCTACACACAAAGAGAAGGATACATGCACAATAGTAGAGTAGTACATGCACAATATATATTGTGCATGTACTATTTACAAAATGAAGAATAAATGAATTTTACTTTATTGAAGAGCGAAATGACTGATGAGCCTGGCCCGGGGATGCCTTTTTTCCCTCCGGGTACGTAGGCCTGTTTGGCATTTTTTTCCCAGAACGGGCCTTATCACACTGTGTATCCACTACGATTTTTAAAATTTTCTAAAAACCAAACCCTTTTGCTGCTTAAAATTCACCGAAAAGGGAGGCATTGGGCTGTGGCACCCTTCCCACATATTTCAGACAATTACTATTTCCCACCCCACGGAGTATTTTTACCCAACCCCAGGTTCAAACTCCCACATAATGAAAATAGTTCCAGGCTTTTTTTTCCCTGTTCACCTTGGTTTTAGTCGACTGGTGGGGTTTTTGCCCCCTGGGAAAAGATTAAGACCCCAATGGAAATAAGTTAGACAGTCTTCGAGACACTGATTTTTTTGGGTTACCGGGGGGTAACCCTTGGGTTAATTGTTTTTTTGGATTCTAATAAGCCACACCAACAAAGGTGAAAGCACAGCGCAGCAGCAGCAGCAGCTGACGTGCTACAGCAGCACAGCAGCAGCTGACAGTGCTACGCGCAGCTGACAGTGCTACAGCACAGCAGACGGGACTACAGCAGCAGCACAGCTGACGGGGGTACAGCGCACAGCGCAGCGCTGACGGTGCTCAGCAGCGCGACAGTGCAGCACACAGCAGCAGCGACGTGCAGCACACAGCTGACAGTCTCGCAGCAGCTGACATGTCAGCACAGCTGAAGTGCTACACAGCAGCTGACATGCTACAGACACAAAAGTGCTCGCAGCAGCAACGGTACTACAGCGCAGCAGCATGACAGTGCAGCAGCAGCAGCAGCTGACATAGCCAGCAGCGACAGTGCACAGCCCGCACAGCAGACATGCTACAGCAGCAGCGACAGCTACAGTGAGCAGCGCAGCTGACAGTGCTACAGCAGCAGCAGACTGTGCTACGCAGCAGCAACTGGCTCCCCGCAGCAGCAGACTGTCTACAGCGCAGCAACTGTGCTACAGCGCAGCAGACTGTGCTACGCACAGCAGACGGTGCTACAAGGGAGCAGCGGGCTACAGCAGCGCAGCGGTGCTAACAGCAGAGCAGACTGCTACGCAACAGCAGACGGGTACTAAAAGCAGCAGCAGCAGCTGCGGGGGTGGCAGCAGCAGCGACAGTGCTACAGCGAGCAGCTAAAAGTTTTCTACAGCAAGCACTGACATGCTACAGCAGCGCAACGGTACTAAGCAGCAGCGACGGTGGTACAGCAGCAGCAGCAGCAGCAGCTGACAGTGCTACAGCAGCAGCAGCATCAGCAGTTGACCATGGTACCACAGTATTTCGATAATATTTCTCACCCTTTTTACCACAGGGTTGGCACTAGAAGCTTTCTTGGGGCCCATGGTCACTTATTTTGCAGATAAAATCACCAAAAACGCTGTAATAATACGAAATGTTCCGATTGTATGCTTGGAAGTTACCGCGGAGGCTGGCTTGTAAACAATGCCACCGGCGGAACATGTGAGGCTGGCTCAGGCCACACATTAGACGCATCTCGGACGAATAGCGTTGAGCGGGTTTTTTAGCGGTATGTGAGGCAAAATCTTAGCAATAAAATGTATCGGTATGCGAATTTAAACGTTATGTGAGGCCAACGGTATGCGGGGGTCCACTGTACATGTATTGTATTTTGTCATATTTTCAAGCATTTTTATTATTTTACATTATGCACTATTTATGTAATACATGTACATGTATTGTGTGAAAGGTTTCAGGGAAACCAGTTAGCTAGACTTGAGTCCTGGAGGTGGGAAGTACGGTGCCTGCACTTTAAGAGGAGGGGTTTGGGATATTGGCTGTTTGGAGTGACATCTGAACTATTGTATCTGGGCACCTCTGCAAAGACAGTGATTATGTGTGAATAATGGTTTAAGTGTTTTTCTTTTTTGGGTCACCCTGCATTAGTGGGAGATGGCTGACATGTTGAAAAAAAAAATATATATACATTTTGACTATTTTTTAGGTTTGTTTAATCTTAAGTCTGCACAAACTACTTTGCATAACTGTGGCCTTTACCATATATGTATGTACAGACGTAAATCATGTAGTCTTTTATATTTATGTATCCTCTTGTTGAATAAATCTGTTTATGTACCTCGCATATATATTACACAGGTAGTATGTAAGTGTATATATAATGGTCTATTTCAACAGTTTGAGATCAACTTCATTTAATAAGCTCTTGCTAGACCTTTGAATCTTAGTTATTTATTGCTCGTCTCTTATGATTAGCTGACAGAGGATTGAGCATCTATCTCTACTTTTCTGAATGATCCATGTGGGTCTAGCACTTTGAATGTAATATAGCATGACCCCCTCCCTTTTTTTTTTAAGTGATCTCAAAGATCATGTACTTTTTCATTTTCTTCTGTAGTTATGTATTGTAATAATATTTTTGTCAAGTCATTTAACTTTTTTTTTTCAGGTTAGCAGCACTACAAAAGAGTGGAGAGGATGGCTGGAAAAATCGTGTCAAGAAAGATGGAAAAGATGTCAATTCCAATGTTACACTTCGACTTAAAGTGAGTAGAGTATAACGTATTACTTATTTTTTGCTTATTCGTGAATTCAGCAATCTTAAGTACAGTGAACCCTCTATACTTAATGGACTAATGGGGGGAGGGGGATGTACAATATTACCGATGGTCCAAAATTTCTGAATTATGAAATAAAATTTTAATGATTATAGAGGATACAGGTGTTGTAACATGTAATACTACAGTACAGCAGTACTGAATTGTGCATAATTTGCAGTAATTTTACTTACCTTCTCATGGATAAACTGCCATGGTTGATGTAGTCACTTAGAATTTGAGTCAGAGGAACTGGATTTGGGCCAGTGCTTTAGAAGACAACCAGACACTATTGCTGTGGACAAAATCCAGAATTACAGACCTTTTTTTTTTTTTTCCATTTTGTCTGATACAGTGGAACCTCAAAAATCGAACTTAATCCGTTCCAGGAGCTAGTTCTAAATTCAAAAAGTCTGAAATTCAAAGCAATATTTCTGTAAGAAATAATGGAAATACAATTAATCCGTTCCAGAAACCCAAAAATATTCACACAAAAAAAACATTTTTTAGAGATTAATTACAGTTTTACATACAACAAATACTATAGTTTTTAATTATGTATAGTAATACATATAAAATAACATTTTTACTTACCTTTATTGAAGTTTGGTGAGGGGCACGGGAAATAGGGAGGAGGAGAGAGGGAGTTGGGTTAGTGTTTGAAAGGAAATCCCCCTCAGAGGACTTCGGGTAAAGCCCTCTCTGGGGTTACTTCCCTTCTCTGTCTTTTAATGCCACTAGGACCAGCTTGAGAGTCACTGGACCCCTGTCTCACAAAATAACTGTCCACAGTCATCTGTTTCTGGCACCTCTAACATTTCCCTAAAATGGGACATGGTTCTGTCACTGAACTTGTTGCAAAGATGGCTTGTTTCAGCTTGCTCAGGGTGGTACTTCTGCACAAACATTTGGTCATCATTCCACTTGGCACAAATCTCCTTAACCCCTTCAGGGTCCAAGGCCAAAATCTGAAGTGGTGCTCCAGTGTCCAAGAAATTTTGAAAAAAAAAAAAAAAAAAAATTTTCTTACAGAATTAAAGAGCATATTTTTGTGAAGGTAATAAGACAAAAAAAAAAATTCTGATCAGTACTTACCGAGATACAGTGCCAAGAAGTTTGTCAAAAATGATGTGGTGGCGGCAACATCGACGAATTCCACATACGCGCATTACATTATTTTGGGGGTTTTTTTACATTTTTTCTTTTTTTTTCAAATTTTTTCTATTCTACTAACTTTTTGGGGCCTGAGAGACCAATACTGTATATAAAGTATATATATAAAACTCACTGTATTGAAACACAATAACCGCACTAAAGTTATTATCATATTTTTGTTTACCACTGTTGTTTATTACAATAAACATGCACAAATCTTTTATAATTTCTAATGTTCTATCATATATTTACATATTTACAATCACTGGACATGGTTTTAGAACTGCTGGAGCTTGTGGAACTCCTTGAAACAAGGCACCATGCACAGAGGCACCTTACATTCCTCACACATAAAACCGAGTGTCCCTTTGCGTCTTTGTTGCCGTCGTTTGTTTGTGCACAGACGATGCATCTCCCTTTTGAGCAAATTTCTTCTGAGTTGAAGGAAGTTGTATTATGAAATGATCACCTTCCCTCCTCAAACGCTTGGGTATATCCTGAGGAATTCGAGGGCCTTGTTGTATAGCAGGTGTTGTTACCTGGTACTTCATTATGAGTTGTCTGACAACAAACAAAATTCACCATACGGTTGGTCTGTTGCCAGTCTTTATTTGGTACATATTATATGCATTGAGCATTGAATGTCCATGAGATGGAAGAAAAGTTTCATGTACCACTTGTAACTCTTACGAACACAGTCAACAAAACCAATCTGCATGTCACATTTGTCAACCAAGGGGCATGTTTTGTGTATAATCAATCACTGTCACTGGTTTTCGAATACGTTCATTAGTCACTCGATCAACTTTGCCACTGTCTTGCATTTCATTACGGTGAATGGGTTGTCAACAATGTGACATCTCGTTTGTCATGCCACCGTAATGCCATGGGGTCATTGGCAATAAACACCTGCACGTTTATCACCACGAGCACCTGTGTTGAGCCTGGGCATATGTTTACGATTAGAACGCACTGTGCCACACACATCTGTCTTGTTCACTCGCATGAAATCACTGAGTAAATGGGCTTTGTACCAGTTATCGGTATATAATGTATGCCCCTTTCCAAGATAAGGTGCCATCATGTTTCTCACTACGTCACCTGAGATACCCCGTAACATCTGGTATCTTTCAATGTTTTACTACCCGTGATACAACAATATCCAAAAACCAGGCCACTGTCACAATCACCAGAGTACAAACAGTTTTATACCAAAGCGTTTCTCTTGCTCGTATATACTGCTTGAATGACAGTCTACCTTTGAACAAAAAACAAAGACTCGTCAATTACAAGATTCTTGAATGGATAAAAGTATACGCTGAACTTTTGTTTGAGATACATGAAAACATTTCTAATCTTTTATAACCTGTCACTTCTGTCAGGCCTGGTTTTTGTCAGAGAAGTGCAACATACGTAAGAATAAGATAAACCTGTTCACTGGTATGATTTCACTGAAGACCGGGGGTAGAAATTAGCCGATCTTTTGGACCAGTATGCTTTTTATTTTGCTTATACACATGAGGCATAAAGCATTATTTGTGCAAAAAGCAAATACATTTCTGCAACATTCGTCTCTTTCCACCTGTGTAGTCTTAACTGTGGTGATAAGATCGTATTTGCCATGGTGTACTCAAAATACTTTTTACTTTCCCTGACAAAAAGTTTCCATCAATGGCTGGTCAAAGAATAATTCAAAGAATTCCCAGTTCATTGGCCATGGGTTCCAAGGGGACAAGTAGGTAGAATTCCACTTTGAGAGTCATCAAAGTGGTGAGGGTTGGGAACAAAATTGGGATTTTGCGCCAATCCCACATACGGTTTTGCTGGTGGGTACTGGACATCATAGGCTGGTTTTTGCGGGTGGTTGTGGTTGTGGTGGGCTGGTGGCTGACCTCCGCTTTGTCCTTGAACTGACGAGTCAGCAGCGTGGGTCCCAGCGTGGGCTGGGTGAGTCACGCATGGCGGTGCCACTACCATCACCACTAACACCATCCACTGATGCTTGTGGTCTATCCATGCCAAGTGTAGCCACATCATCCTCACTATCACTACCTAAAACTGGTGTAGGGCCACGGGATGTACTCCGTCCCCTGGGCACAGCATAGGGTACACTACCCGAGCGCATGCGGCGGCGAACATACCGACGCTTCACTGGTGAAAATGATCCTCACTATCACTACTCGAATGATCGTCGAGCGCAATAAAATCACAATCCACGTCACTATCATCATCATTACTGAAGTCAGAGGCCTGGCCACGCGAAAATATTAGTTTTTCTCTTGCGTTTAGGAACAACCGACCGTGATCACGAGTGCCCACACCAGAGGTAAAGGTTGAGGATCGTCAGGATTTTCTGCACTATTATCGATATCCCCGGTCATTCTTTCGGGCACTAACTGATCAAAGCCGTAGAATTCGTCTTCATTTCCACTTCCATCACTGTCGGAACTATCAAATAGGAAGAGGAGAGTCCCAATTTTCCGGGGAGTGAGAGCTGACTTGCGACGAGGCATGGTGAACAAGGGTAACTGAGCCTGCGTTCCCACAATGCTATGCGGGCGCCTAGATTTTTTGTTTATGGCGCACACCCACCACGCAGACCCGTTCTCTCACATGTAGGCCTATGAGCGTTTTCGCGCTAAATTTGACGGCGCTAGAATTTTGGCATAGATCTACGGTTTGGACACTCAACGTGAAGCCGTAGATCTACGGGACGGACCCTGAAAGGGTTAATCTTTGAAAAAGGCACCTCATCCACTCCCTATATTAACACCTTTCGCAACATCAGCTTCCTTGATTTGTTCTTTCTTTGACAGGATAGAACCGATGATCGACTTGTTTTTCCCATACATCCTGGCAAGCTCAGCAAGTCTCACACCACTCTCATACTTCTGTATTATTTCCTCTTCACATCTATGGCGTTTCTCACTTTCTTTACCACAGGGGTACCACTAGCAAGTTTCTTTGGGCCCATGGCAGCTTATTTCACAGTCCCACAAGCACTAAACACAACAAAATAATTGTAAAATGCATGAATCAGAGCACAGGTTAGTGTTCATTCAAGCATAAACAAAGCTAGACTGCTCATGGTGCCTGCGCGGGGACGCGGACAGAGCGGGCCGGCAGACAGGTCCCGTAGCCGGTGGTCCGAAAATAGGAGCGCGTTCGATAATAGGGACACAGTTTGTCCAAAAAAATGGTCCTATTTTCGAAACATTCAATATGTGATACGTTTGATTTTTGAGGTTCCACTGTACCTCCAATTTTATCTGGTCTTTTTTTTTTGTCCAAAATTGGCAAAATCCATTATTGAAAGGTTTTACCATAGTTCATAAAATACGTGCTGCATAGCTCAGAGGTAGCATGTTTAGGGCAGGGTAAAGGGGGTTAGAGCAATGAGACATAGGTAATTCTCCTGTGAATGAGAACTAAAAAAAAGCCAGTGGAAATAAGCCACACTGATTACTATAGCTTTTTAGGATCATTGAGTTAATAATCCCAGTAGTCACCATTTTCTTTTTCTCTGATTTCAAAGGTAAATGTTAGGGATAGGGATGTACTGCATGCATGTATACATGTGCATGCAAGCAGTGATTTCTTACTGTTTCATCTTTTAAAATAGTATATTTCTTCAGCCTACTGGAAGTGTGCGGGAACGCCCTGTTAGTCTCATGGATAGGGTGTCGGCTCTGGAAACCTCATCACAACAATGGAAAGGTCGAATCACACAGTCTGATGCTACAAAGTTTACTGTGGCACATAAGATGGCTTCATCTACATCATCAGTGCCATCTGTTGTCAGTGGGATTAATCCAGTTATCACTGTGACACCAGAGCCACCATCCACTCCGACAGGAAGTCCACTTGTGGAGCGTAAGAAGCGGTCACCATGCCAAAGTGTTTTCAAGAGCAAGACTGGAGGAAATCTTCCATTACTTTTAAATAAATCTAGCCCACTTAATTCACGCAAGGACTTTAGACGGAGTATTTCTACACCAAATGACGGAGAGAAAAAGGGTGAGCATTTTCTCAGTGAAGCATTAGTTTGTCCCATAAATTAGATGAATTGGGTTACTGAGAGAGAATACATGTACATTATATTATAGTGCAATTACCTGATTGTAATTACTGTAAGTATTTGTTGCTAGAGGAAAGGATATGTTCTTGTGATGACCTATCTTTTGCATTTAATTAATTAATCAAATAATTTTTTTGTAATGGTTTTCATGTTGATTTTGATATAATATCTTCCTTATTTGTATTTCCTTTTTTGGGTCAACCTGCCTGGAAGGAGAGAGCCATTTAAGAAAAAAAATATTCCTTATGTACTTATTCAGATCCTTGCATAGCCTTATACAGTATGTGGTTATCATATTTCTTTTTTTCATTTATTATCACACTGGCCGATTCCCACCAAGGCAGGGTGGCCCGAAAAAGAAAAACTTTCACCATCATTCACTCTATCACTGTCTTGCCAGAAGGGTGCTTTACATTACAGCTTTTAAACTGCAACATTAACACCCCTCCTTCAGAGTGCAGGCACTGTACTTCCCATCTCCAGGACTCAAGTCCGGCCTGCCGGTTTCCCTGAACCCCTTCATAAATGTTACTTTGCTCACACTTCAAGAGCACGTCAAGTATTAAAAACCATTTGTCTCCATTCACTCCTATCAAACATGCTCACGCATGCCTGCTGGAAGTCCAAGCCCCTTGCACACAAAACCTCCTTTACCCCCTTCCCTCCAACCTTTCCTAGGCGAAACCCCCACCCCGCCTTCCTTCCACTACAGACTGATACACTCTTGAAGTCACTCTGTTTCGCTCCATTCTCTCTACATGTCCGAACCACCTCAACAACCCTTCCTCAGCCCTCTGGACAACAGTTTTGGTAATCCCGCACCTCCTGCTAACTTCCAAACTACGAATTCTCTGCATTATATTCACACCACACATTGCCCTCAGACATGACATCTCCACTGCCTCCAGCCTTCTCCTCGCTGCAACATTCATCACCCATGCACCCATGCTTCACACCCATATAAGAGTGTTGGTAAAACTATACTCTCATACATTCCCCCCTTTGCCTCCAAGGACAAAGTTCTTTGTCTCCACAGACTCCCAAGTGCAAACCCTTCGCCCTTTTCCCCTCATCAGTTCTATGATTCACCTCATCTTTCATAGACCCATCCGCTGACACGTCCACTCCCAAATATCTGAATACATTCACCTTCTCCATACTCTCTCCCTCCAATCTGATATCCAATCTTTCATCACCTAATCTTTTTGTTATCCTCATAACCTTACCTTTCCTGTATTCACTTTCAATTTTCTTTTTTTTGACACCCACCAAATTATCCACCAAATTCTGCAACTTCTTTCAAAAATCTCCCAAGAGCACGGTGTCACAGCAAAGTGCAACGGACAACTCCCTGTGTGTATTCTTTATTTTTAACTCCAGCCTTTGCCAAACCCTCGCATTTACTTCTTTAAAACCCCCACTATAAATATTTTAAAAACCCACGGTAATCACGCATCCTGTCTAAGGCCCTACTTTTACTGGGAAAAAATTTCCCCTTTCCACATATCAACTTGAGCCTCGCTATCCTCGTAAAAATCTTCACTGCTTTCAGAAACCTACCTCCTAACCTACACCTGCAACATCGCCACTTTTCCCCCCTATCCACCCTGTCATAGCCTTTTCCAAAATCCTAAATGCCACAAAGACCTCTTTAGCCTTTCAAAATACTTTTCACTTACGTTTCATTTTAAACACCTGGTCCCCAACCCCCTACCTTTTCCCAAACCTCCTTGTTCTCTGCTTTCCCATTCCCGTCTTACTCTTTTAAATTTTTTCAACAATAACTCTTACCAAACTTTTCCAGGGATACCCATAATTTTTTCACTCTCTTTTTCCCCTTTTGCCCTTTTTACAAAGGGAAATACACTCTTGCCAATCCCTAGTACCTTTCCTCTTCAATACATTTATAAATAAATGCACCCAAACCCCCCAAAAAAAAATTTTCCCCCCCTGCTTTTAACATTTCATCTTTATCCCCCCAATCCCCGGGTGCCTTACCCCCTTACATTTTACCTACTGCCTCACAACTTCCCCCCCTCCAACTGGCCTTCCCCACTCCCAAAGATGTTATTCCTCCTTCCCTATACATGAAAACACAGCTTCCCCCATCTTCATCAATTTAACATTCCTCAAAAAATTCCTCCACTTTTCCCAAACCTTAACTTCCATTTAATAACTTCCTCTCCCATTTTTAACTGACAAAAACCCTTTTTTCTCAGGGTTCCTTACTTTTAAACTCACTCCAAAACTTTTTCTTATTTTCAACAAAATTTTTGAAAACATCTCACCCACTCTCTTAACTTCTCTCTTTTTTTCCATATATCTTCCCCCTGCGTCACTTACTTTGTAAAACTTCTATATGCTAACTTTTTCTCCCTTATACTCCTTTACATCAAAATTCCACCAAACGCTCTCTTCCCCCCTGCACCCCCCTTTCCTTAACCACAAATTTCTCTGAACATCTAAACCACTACATTTTTTAAAACCCACCCCTACCTCTTCGACCCCCTTTCCCATGCTCTCATTAGCCCATCTGTCCCCCAGTAGTGTTTTTTATTTACCCCCAACTCCTCCTCTTTTAGTTTAAAACCTTCACCCTCTCTCTTCCCTGATGTTTCTATACTCCTTGTATCCCATGTACCTTTTTTCTTCAGTG